GGAAAGAGTACCTCAGGGAAGGGGCTTTCCGGCCCCTACGTGCATTTACCACCTCCACACGCTTCTTGCCACCAGCATCCTCCCCGTTTCCCTGCAAGAAGTTCTACGTTCTGAGCCCCCAGTTCTCCCCTTCCCCCATTCTGAACATCCTCCTCATCACCCCAGGGATCCCCACAAGGAACCCACTGCCCAGGCCAACCCCACCCAAACTCCCCACCTGGGACCGGGTCTGTCGCAGGGTCCTCTGCAGTTTGCCAAGGAACAGCACAGCACTGGCAGTGCCCGAGGAGCCTTGGCTGACTGGGCCTGCTGGGAGAATCAGGGTAGATGGGGGGCCCGATACTGTACCCCCAGAACAGACAGCTATGTGCCAGCCCAGAAGGATAGAGGATACCTCTCCCAGGCTGTCCCGTAGAGGGCGCGCTCTCTCTCACACACACACACACACACAGTCCCACTTCACCCCACCCCGTCCTCCCCGCCACACACACACCCACACACACACACACACACACACACACACACACACACACACACACAGTCCCACTTCACCCCACCCCGTCCTCCCCGCCTCCGGGTCACCTGGGTTGTGAGGTGTGCTCTTGAAGGCACTATGGAAGTGGCTGAGGTAGGCAATGAGGCCCAGTGGGTCATTCCCTGCCACCATTGCCTGTGCAGACAACACGGGCGTGATGCCCAGCTCATGCTCCGCCATCTTCAGTGCCCAAGAAGTTGCTTCCAGAGCCCCGACTCCCTGCAGCTCTGAGGGTTCCCTGTGGGGCATCAGGGAGAAAGGCCAGTGGGAGACCAGAACTTGCCCCATGGAAGGGGGAGATAACAGTAGAGGAGGGACATCGGGAAAGGAAGGAGAGGGCATAAAGGGTTTTCATTCTCTGTGCAACATACCGCCCACCCCTCCCATGACAACAGCATCTGGCCTTGGGGGGCTTCTACCACTCACAAAGCTCGCTGTGTTGAATGCATTTGATTCTCATGGGCAGGCAGAGTCAGGCGGGAAATCTATCTCTAGGGAAGCAAAGTGACTAGAGCAGGATTATTAGCAAGGGGTGGCCTGGGACGCAGCTGGGTGTGCTAACTCCTACACAGTGATCGCCCACCATTCCACACTGCCTGGAGAGGGAGGGGCTATCAGGGACCCCCAAGCCCAATGCCTGACTCACAGCAGGCTGGGCCGCAGCCGGTGCACGAGAGCACACAGAGCCAGCCCATCTGCCCAGGAGGAAGACAGGTCGGTGACATGGACCCCTGGGTACCCAGCCGTCTGCTCCTGGCACCAGTGTAGCAGCTCCTCCTGGGTGGCCACCGACCCTGGGAGAGGAAGCCGCGCTTACTGAAGGCACCGAGGCCCACAGACAGAGCCCAGCTGCTGGGTGCGGGGTCTATATGGGAGGGGGAAGCAGGGACCCATGCCTACTGGGCACCAGCCTAACACTGTCAACAGCATTTCCTTCATCCCAGTTTTCTCATTTGAAAAAATCTTTCTGGCAATAAAGTAGGGGAATGAATAGAGTGAAACCACTGCTGGCCACAGAGAGGGCAGCAGGCTATGAGCTGAGGGGCAAGGGAGACCCAGAGACTAAAAGGAGAGGCAGGTTTAGGGTCTGCAAGGCGGGAAGGGGCAGAACAGCTGAGAACAGTGCAGCTCCGCTGCCATCCAGCTGCTGCGTTACAGTGGCTGTTAAAGTGCTGAAACACTCCACACAAGTTGGCAAATGGCTGCTGCTGAGCACCCCACTGCCCTGCACTCTCCAGGAGGCCCCAAACATCTCCACCACCCAGCAGTGCTCCAGCACCGTGCTCCCTGCCGCCAGCGTCTACCACTGTTCTGATCATTGGTGCTTGTGCCTCACTGCTTGGTAAATGTTTTGGACATGGCCCCGGAGGAAGGCCTGCTCACCAGTGGCCGGCTTTCCTGAGTCTGTCTTGTCACTCATTCTCAGCACAGGCTCCTTGGCCTCCACATCATACAGGTCTCGTACCTACGGCAGCCCCTTTCAGGTCTCCAGGCAGGCGGGCCACACCCCACCCCGCCGCCCCCCCCAGTCCATGGGGGAGGGGCTGCCTGGGTGGGACTCACCCACAGGGCAGGGACAGGGCAGACCACAGGAGGGAAGGCCTGACCTGGGGTGCGGGAGCTGACCCGGGAAGTCTTGGCAGGCAGGGCCAGGGGTTCTGACCTGACTGGGGGTCACGGCCCGGAGGTTCAGGTTGGGATAGCGGGAGGCTGGGTCCAGCCCATACTGGGCCACATTGCGGTGCATGTTTTCTGGGGATGTCTGTGACAGGAGCTGGTACAAGCTCTCTCTGGGGAGATGAGGGTGGGGTCAGGCACAAGTGGGAGGGCACCATCAGCACCCACCCCTCCAGAAGTGCCAGGCCTTTCCTTCGTTCTCTTTTCCCTACGCCCCCATCTACTCAGCCAGCATCCCCGACCCTACTCCTGACTCTTGTCCTATACCCAGCCCTGCCCCCACCCCGCCCCCCAACTCCCCAATTCAGGCCTCACCTCTCTGCCAACACCTCTAGGGGCCCAGCGCCCTCTGCCCAGCGCTTCACCATCCAGGCGGCGTCAAAGGCTGCCAAGAAGCCCCGGGCCACTCCAGTGCCCAGGGGCCAGAAGGGCTGCAGGGGCAGAAGGACAGGAAACAGCTCAGGGAGAGTCCAACAAGGGTGTCCACACCCAGATGACCCCAGGGCCATAGCAGAGGGGGCCCTGACACACCAAGCCACCTTCTGCTCCTCCTTACGAGAAGCAGACCTTTTTATACCCCCTCCTTCCCACGAGGCTGCTTCCTCCCCCAGCCAGGGAACTCCTGTGCCTCCTCACAAGGGGTCCAGAGAGCCCCTCCCCAATCAGGGAACACTGACCCCTCACCTCCACCAGGCAGTCCCCAACCAGCCCCAGCAGCAGGCGGGCGCCATGCTTCTCCTGCACCCGAGCAGAGCTCTCTGCCCGCATCATGCTTGTGAAGTCAAAGGCAGAGACATCGGGCCGCCCGTGGGCATCCTGGGCAAACTCCAGCTTCCCGAGCTTGCCGTGGGTGGCGAAGTCAGCAGCTGCCCGAGCAAAGCGCTGCAAAGCCTCGGGCGCCACATTGGCGCTGCCCAGCAGGCGGTCGGTCTCCGGCCAGTCCTATGTGGCCAACAGATCAGAACCAGCAGCGTCAGTTGGGCCATCACGCCCCCTCAGGTGTAGAAGGTACACATCCTGAGGCCCCAGGAACGGGCTTCCCCAGACTACACAGCAGTTGAAGGCTGAGCTGGGAGGAGAATTTGAACGTCCAGCCTCCCACGCTCGAGCCCCGTGCTCAACTCTCAGCCTGCCGCTCGCTGGGGGTCCCAGGTCCCACCCTGCCTCCAAGGCCCAGTATCACTACTGTTACCATACACCTGCTTTGGACAAGTCACTGAACTTCTCAGAGCCTGTTTCCCCATCATTTAGAGATGACATACCTAACTTCTCAAGGTACTCGTGTGGATTAGGTGAGAAAATGAACATAAAGCTCTCAACAAAGTCCCTATCACATAGTAGTTGTTCAACTAGTTCATTCAGCAAATACGTTCAGGTGCTTACTACATAGCAGGCACCATTCTAGGCACCGGGAATCATCAGCAAACAAGAGACGGACAAAACCCCTGCCCTCAGGGAGCTTACACTGTGTAGTCCTGTGGCTGGTATAAGGTGTTTAGCCCAGAATATGATTCAGGTTGCCACGTAAGTCCCAGGGGAAAAGAGCTTGTCGAGGTGGAGGAAGTGCCATCGCACACAGGATGGACTCCCTCCACACCCAGGGAGAGACTGTGTCCAGGCCTGGCCCCTACCTCCCAGGGCCCACCACCCAGCCCCTCCCTGCCTGGGCCCAGGCCCCACCTGACGCAGCACCCCCAGCCGTAGCAGGCACTGCTTCTTGGCTGTCATCACAAAGTAGTGGGTGTCATCCTTGTAGTACACGATGTTCTCCAGATCAATGCCTGTGGGGACAGGGCAGGGTACAAGGGATGTGCCTCCTCATCATGTGTCACCTCTCCAAATACCCCAGCCATGCCTGACCTCTGAGAGCTGGGATCACAGCTCAGCCTGCTGCAGTACCTCTACCCACACACACACAGGGGGGCCCATGAGTTCTGGTGGCACAGTGGACCATCTGTCCCAGGCCCAGGAGGCCTCAAGGTATGGGGCAAAGTGAGAAACTTGGGTGGGGTGGCAGCTGGGAGATGTGCACCACATAGTCCACAGGCTTGCAGAGGACAGCCTAGCTTCTCCGACCGGGATGTGCACACTCCAGGGGGCGTGGCAGTGTGAAGCCAAAGTAAGCATAGGGCATCTTCTGGAAGTACCACTTTCATTTTGAATATACAGCATTTTGTTTTGTTTTGGTTTGGTTTTTTTTGAATTTTATTTATTTTTTATACAGCAGGTTACATAGCATTTCTATACTAAAGCATATGTAAAGAAGCACAAAGCAAAATCCCATACATTTTGCGAGATTTCTAAGACTCGTCATGCTGGGTGGCTGAGTAGGGCTGTGGCTGCTGAATCCCTGGGGGCTCAAGTTCTTTGCTGCCAAGACCACAAAGATGGAAAAGTATGGGATTCCTTGGACTGTGGACAGGTCTGAGAGGGAGAGGTGGCAGGCAGGCCACAGTGAGGCAAGAGAAGGGCAAACCCCGTGAGGGCGGTCCTGACCTGTGGCTTTAAGCAGGCTCTGGAAGAAGCTCTGGTTGTAGATCCTGGCCACGCCGCTGATCTCGGGCACCTGTGTCTCTTCCACGGTGCGCCCGTTCACAAAGTTGGCCGTGATGCCAATGGCCAGTTTGCCACGCATTTCCCGCACTGTGAAGCCTAGAGGTGGGGACAGGGAGGTGGTGGCAGGAGGATGACTGGTGTAGCAGCCTAGAAAGGCCCACAAGGAGCTCAAGATGCTGGCTGCTTCGAGGGAAGGGATCACTCACCTTCAGGGACGAATTTACCTCCAGCTGCAGAGATGAGGACATCAAATTCATAGTTGGCCAGTTGGGCTGGGGGGCTGGGCTGGAGCTGGGCACGCCAACCACTCCCTGGGGCAGAGGGTGTGAGTGGCACAAAGGTGTGGAAATTTGAAGGGGCCCCTGAATTCCCAGGACAACCCAGTGAAATAATTAAATAAATGTTTAAAGGGCTTTATGGTTTAGAAAGCAATGACACACTGTCTATCAAATTACACCTTCACAACAGCCATGGAAAGTAGGTAAGGAAAAAAATACTTGGGGGTCCTCAGGAGCAGAGAAGTACTCACCCTTTCTGGGAGGGGGCTGAAGGCCAGTGAAAGTGACACCCCAGTGAATTTCCACCCCCAGCAGTAACGCAACTTTCAACAAAAGCAGCTGAAGTTGCCGGATGCCTGGAAGGGAGAGGACATTAGGAACAGGGACCCCAGGTCCCCCCAGCCTTCCCAAGCACCAGTGTGTTCCTGGTCAGAGCCAGAGAAGGTCTTAGAGATCACTCAGTCCAACTGCCCAATTTACAGGTGAGGGCCCTGAGTCCTAAAAGCCGCCTGGCTGAAGTGAATCTTATCCACCCTGCCTCTTGGCCGGTCCAGCAGCAGCCCCCCGACCCCCTCCACTGGCCTGTCTCTAGGCCCAGGCTCACCCGCCCCTCCAGGCCACCACATGGTGCTCACTGATGTGGTCCAGGGAGCCTGTGCAGAAGCGCCCATAGAACTTTTTGGCGCCGAGTGCCCGAAGGTCATGGATGGTGAAGGGCCAGAGGTGGAGCACGTTGTGACGAGAGAACTTGGTGCGCTTTTCCACCAGCACCACTCGGGCCCCAAGCATCGCCAGCTCCACAGCAGCCCGCAGCCCACAAGGTCCAGCACCCACCACCAGGCACTGCGAACACACAAGGCAGCATCGGCATGGCATCTGGCCCCTCCTCTGACTCCCCCCACTCTCCAAGCCCCATCCCAGGCACCGTGTACCCACCTTGGTGCTGGTGCAGGCCCGGCCCTGCTGGTAGACAGGCTGGCTTGCTCTCTTGTCCAGCTTGGCCCACAGCGACTTGGCACTCCAGTAGTTGAGCTGGGCCTTGATCTTGTGGTACTGGGGCAGCCCCCCACCAGGCTCCAGCCCCAGGGCCCTGCATAGCCCCTGGAAGCTGCTCAGCACATCCTGGCACAGCTGGGCCTGCAGGACGCTCTCAAAGTGGGCATGCTCCGGGTTGATGGAGGTGGGTGAGGCCATGGAGACCTCAGAGGCTCCCAGGGAGGGGCAGGGGCACGTGGCTGCTGGAGAGAAGGAAGGAAGAGAAGGGAAGAGGCTGGAGAAAGGAGGAAGGGAAAAGGACGGGGAGAAGCAAGTCTGGTATCCCCAGGGAGCTCCAGGCCCAGCCCTGATTGGCTCTGCTCCTCTCTGCCAGCTGCTCCAGAGACAGCGGCTATCCCTTCCGCTCCAAGTGAAATCTGCCCAATTTGGACATGAAAAATCAGCAGTCCTGGGCACAGAGGACACGGGGAAAGCCAGGGAGCCTCCAGCTCAGCCTTCTTGCTCAGGGATCTCCAAGCCCTGCTCCAGCTCCGGGGCCTGCCTTCTCGGGGCCCTGGAAGCAGAGCACGGGGAACTTCTCGGCTGTGAAGAGGGCAGGGTGCCCAGGAAGAGAGCTTTCCGTGCAGTACAGGCAGGGACAGATCTAACACCGGCAACCCCAGCTGCTAGGCACATGTACTGCCCCATCTCACCCCAAGCCTCCCTGTGACCAGCACCCTCGAGGGACTCGGTGTGACGCTGGGTGTGGGGTGCATCTTACGCCAGGGGCAAAGTTCTCCTCAGCACTGCTCATTGCCTCACCACGGGGAGGAGATGATCTCTAACCCTGTAGGTTCCACTTCCCACCACCAAAATACTGCAAGGAACGGCCCCCGGATGTTGCATCTGACTAACACACAACTGGGTCTATTTCTGACTCACTGTGGTCAAAATACTTCCCTTGGGACTTGCCACTGCTCCAGTGGGCCACAGTACGGTTGGGGGACTGTGGGGGCGACAGGGCAGCAGGGTTCGCCCCTCCCAGCTTCCTCTCACTCCCATCGACGCCCCACCCCATCCCTGCATATGCTCTCCCAGGAATCTCCCGAAACAAGGCCTCCCTTTGTCCCCTTCTCGCTCGCTCGGGCCCCCACGCAACTTGAGGGGTGTTGGAGAGAGCTCTCTCACGCTGGGACCCGGAGGAATCAGAGGGCACGGGGATTCCTGGAGAATTGCCCACGGGGGAGTTCGGGAAGGTGGGTGGCACTCATGGGGGGAGATCCTTGGGTTGATCCCCCTCACGCTGCTCGGTCGTCTCACCGGTCCCCGCCCGAACCCAGCGGCCGGGCCGAAGGAGATGATGAAAATCGCCGCCGCAGGTCACCTGGATGGGGGCGGAAGGAACGTCAAGAAGGGCAAAGGTCTCTCTCAGGGCGTAGGAAGGAGGAAGACCTCGGCGAAGTGGGGAGAGAGGGGACCCAACCTGGAAACACCAGGACAAATAATGTGCGAGGGGTGGGCCGGTCTGGAAGAATGGAGAGGGAGCTGGACCACTGGCAGCGGGGGTCGGGGGTACTCACACTCTAGACCGTACAGTTTGGAGAGGGGCTGAGCAGGGCGGAGGTGCGGAGACATTGGGCCGGACCGGCCAGGCGGAATTCAGGAGCGCCGCGAGCCACATTTCTCCGGAGGCGCATCCCTACTCCTACCCCGGGCCTCCGCGGGCTAGGGCCGCACATTTGGCGCAGCTGGACAACTTACCCGAGGGCTCGGGAGCCCGTAGGGGCCGCTTCCTGCCAGGCGGGCGCCCCAGTCCGGCGGGTTGGGGGACTGGGACGCTGGAAGGGAGGTGAAGGAGGCGCGGACCCAAAAGCCGGGATTGCAGGGCAGCGCGCAGGGTATAAGCTCCCTCACCAGTGCACGCGGCCCGCAGAGGCTTTATTCGCTCCTCATTAGCATCTCATTACCCGGCGTTTCCCGGCTAGGGGCAGCCAAGGGCCCGCCCATGGCTGCAGGGTGGTGTCCGAGGGCGTGGCGCAGCCGGCGCCGCTTTCCGCTTGACGGCCGAAGACCCGGGCCCCGCCTGGTGGGGGCCAATGAGAAGCGGGTCGGAGGCATCCGGAGCCCTACTGCGCACCCGCGGCCTCTGGCTCCATCTCAGAGCCTGCGCCTGAAAGCTAGCGCTTCCCGGGAGGGCGAGGCCACCCGCCCTTGCGCAGTACGTACTGCGCGGCCGCCCCCCGAGAACTGGGCGGAGAGGGCGCTCGGACTGGGCAAGAAGTTTGCAGAAGCCGTTGGATCCATAGGTAGCATCTGTGTCCTCCTCACCTCTCCTACCAGGAGATCCACCACCCGGGCGCCCCACGATGGATCCAAGCTCGGGGTCCGCCTCCCCTGCAACCAGTCTGCCTCTAGACCCGAGCTGCGGGCAACCGGCACGGATTTAGAGCCCTGGAAACTCGGCAATCTGCAGCTTCCACAAAGGCATGAGTGAGCAGGCAAGAGGGTCTTGGGCGTGAGGGTACTAAACCGGAGGAAATGAGAGGGGTGTTTGGGTGAGAGGCTAGTTCCCCAATATTCAAGAATGCCTTGGAGAAAGGACCCACAGAGCTGTCAGTGCTGAAAAGGGCTTGAGAGACCTTTGGGATCAACTTCCTCATATTCCCCATAAGGAAACAGCTGAATGTGAAGGTACACTTCCAAGGTCATTCAACTAGATAATATTAATAAAACATCGATCTCATTTGTTAAGCATCTACCATGAATATTACCTTAATCTCAGTGATCACATGAGTCCCATTTTACTGAAAAGGAAACCGAGGGTCACAGAGGTTCTGTGACCCGCAACAAAGTTACACAGCAAGTGGCAGAGCTGGTATGGAACCCAGGTCTATCTGGACTCCACTACACCAGTGTTGATCCAATGTGACAAATGAAAGGCTGGCATCGTAAGAAGCTGTTTCTTGTTTAGAGGAAGTGACATAATAAACACTAACAAAACAGAGGAATGAATGGGAGGGTCCTCCCCTTGAGGTCCAGGGACAGAAAAAAAAAATGGTTACCCTATGGCTCTCCCCTTCTCTTTATTCTCACTTTGCATTTCGTCTGGAAACCCTCTGAGAACAAGCAAGACCTGTATACTTATACTGCTCCCAGCTTGAGCTGAGAAGCAGGCAGGGAAGGGGAAATGCCTGCTCTCTGCCAGGAGAGGCCTGAATTCAGCCAGGTCAGGCTCAGGAAACTAGGACAGCCTCCCAGTTGGACCCATTCTAGCTCTTGAGTATGACTAGTTGAGTATGACTAGTTATTTGGCTTGAAATCAATTTGCCAAATATCGGACACACCTATATTTAAATACACAGTGTAAGAAGGGTTCTAAAGTCCAGTCTGAATGGGTTACCAGGCTTTTAGAATCACTCCATTTCCCTTTCATCAGCTGATGGTAAATAAGCAGCTGCTCTGATCTAGTGGATTAGCTGAGGCCCAGCAGGGGCCCTTGACTCAGTGACTTGTGGTCTCAGCCAAACAGGGTTATGTGGCTCTCTGAATGGCAGATGGTAAAATTTGTCTTTAAAAAAGATCACAGAACAATAATGACTTCATCAATGCTTAAAAAACGGCTGACTTGGGAGTTTCACTTTATGTTAATTAAAGATACACAGTGGAGCAAAGATCAATGGGGAATATATTGGTTTGTAATCTAGAAGATCTGGCCAGATGCCAGCTTTGCTTCATACAAACTTATGTAACCTTGAAAAGTCACCAGCCACCATGCTTCAGTCTTAAATCTAAATGGAGGCAGTTTAATTACACAACCTCATCAACCCATTTTGATTCTAAAATCCTATTATTCAGGCTTCCCTGGTGGTGCAGTGGTTGAGAGTCCGCCTGCCGATGCAGGGGACGCGGGTTCGTGCCCAGGTCCGGGAAGATCCCACATGCTGCAGAGCGGCTGGGCCTGTGAGCCGTGGCCACTGGGCCTGGGTGTCCAGAGCCTGTGCTCCACAATGGGAGAGGCCACAACAGTGAGAGGCCCACGTACCGCAAAAAAAAAAAAAAAAAAAAGTAAAATCCTATTATTCAATGTTGGTGACTCTAAGAAATGTATAGTCCAGAAGGCCCAAAACAAGTTCTATTTAGATTTTCTTCAAAAAAAAAAAAAAAAAGGCCTCTAATAAAACTAAAAGAATAAATTATTATTTATCTACAAGTGTTTCTCTTCTTAATTAGTATCTTGAGTCATGATCCACATTATATGTGTATATGAAACTAAAAATACTGGCACAAACACACTGGCTAATTCATATTGGGTCAAATAAGTGGTTGATACATGCAAAGTCCGTTTGTGGTTTTTTGGTCATGCGGCACAGCTTGTGGGATCTTAGTTCCCTGACCAGGGATTGAACCCGGGGCCTTGGCAGTGGAAGTGCCGAGTCCTAACCACTGGACTGCCAGGGAATTCCACAAAAAGTTAGTTTTAAAAGAATCACATTCTAGGGCTTCCCTGGTGGCGCAGTGGTTGGGAGTCTGACTGCTAATGCAGGGGACACGGGTTTGAGCCTTGGTCTGGGAGGATCCCACATGGTGCAGAGCAACTAGGCCCGTGAGCCACAACTACTGAGCCTGCGCGTCTGGAGCCTGTGCTCCACAACAGGAGAGGCCGCGATAGTGAGAGGCCCGCGCACTGCGATGAAAGAGTGGCCCCCGCTCGCCACAACTAGAGGAAGCCCTCGCACAGAAACGAAGACCCAACAAAGCAAAAATAAATAAATTAAATAAAACTCCTACCCCCATCTTCTTAAAAAAAAAAATCACATTCTAATGTTTTTGCAAATAATCACTCCAGCAGTGGCCTAGGTCAAAAACTTGAGCCATTAAAACAGGATCCCTTTCCTCTAATCCACATCATGTTCTGTCTTCCTGCAATGCCATCCTTACTTCAGCTCCTAACCTTTCATCTCCTGAGCCTGGAGTCGGAAACTAGATCCCTAGCACTGCAGGTGACGGTTCTAAGCCACCCTATATATGACTTTACACCTGTAGGTCAGCGTGTTCAAATACCACAGCCATGGTCCTGGGTCAGGAGCCATGGCTGCAGTGTAACCAGGCAGACACAGCTCCTAATGTAAAAATAATTATCAGCTGAGACCAAAGTGTAGCATGCTGTGGATGGATATGAAAGTGTGGCTTGATTGAGATCAGAGGGTCAGGGAGGATTAGAGGGTGGGGAAGCAACACTT